AAAAAATTAACCGAGCTCAACAGCTTCTTAGTAATAATTAAAAAATAAAATTAGTTGTAGTATTAATCGATATTTGCTAGGGGCTTAATACGGAAAAAAAATTCACAGGAATTCACGTAAATCCACACTTTTGAATCGAGTGGTTATTGATGAGTTCGGTGAATTCGTGTGAATAGAATGAAATGTGTCAAAGTAATAAAGTGAGGTTATGATAACCGCAATATTTTTCAATTTATTATTTTTTCAATATTTCCGATTGTTTTCGATAGAAAATCGCTCAAAATTGAAAATAAAATTAATTTTTATTAAAAAATATAAAAAACATTTACAATTTTGTTACACAAAATATAAGTATTGCAGTAATTGCCAGCAGAAACTATTCACCACTATCTCACATATTTGAATGAAATCGCCGTAGAATTCACCGAAATTCATTCGTTTGCTGAAAAATTCAATTAATTTAGATATTATTATAGAATTCAGTCGTTGAAAATTTGGAATGAAGCCCCTTAGATATTTGAATGCAGAATCTCGCAGCTCATGTTGATACTCGCATTAAGATTGGTCTTAATATTTAGTAGCATCTTAAAAGAATATCATTAAGATACAAAATGTATTAAGATTCGGGTTTGGCACATCTATAGTTTAACGATCCCATATTCACCAAATTATGATTACGTCAAACTAGTACCACGTGTAGGACCTGGCATTTTACAACATGAGATAATTAACATTCTTCTGTCAAAACAGATACGTTTGTATGTAATAAATAGATAAAGCAATAATGAATTAAAGTCAATGTGTATTGCCATATTGCGCAAAACCAACAGTTGTATCATCTTGTCGCTTGAACTGTGGTTGTCAAGTGGTTAGTTTTTTTCTTCCTTTAATCGCAAAGAAATGAAGTTTTTTTACGGATTGGCGTTGGCTTTAATCTTATTTGACGGATTTGTGAGTATATTTTTTCATTTTCTTTTGTTATGTCCCAAATGAAGTTCATAGAAATAATTCATTTGAAAAACAAACGAATTTAGATAAGCCAATGTGAAGGTGCAGGTGGGTCAGAAGAGGCATCGACCAGTATAAATTTAAAAAAACTTCCAAACAATGTATATGAAGAAATCCTATTCAGGACCGGTTTCAGTGCAACGGAACAAGCAGCAAAAGACAACCAAAGATCGTTAACGGCTGTCAAGAAAATATTTGAAGATCGTATAATTCAGGTCCGCCCAATGAATTGGGACCACCAAATAAGCGAAGAATCTCTAAATGGTAGCATTTATCTTAACATCAACGATGTCAATAGAGCTTTATCATTTTTTAAAAACTTTGGTGATCATATAAAGAAGATAAAAATTAACTACGAATTCGTAGATGACATAGATCGCCGCCAGATAAATGAAAATATTATCACAAAGTATGCAAAACAATTTACGGATTTTCACATAGTCACCTTTGATTCGTTCTCGACATTTTTGGATCAACTGTCGAACGGAGGAGAAAGAACTCATTTTCTAAATGTGAAAAGGCTTCGTTATGAAGGTCCAAGTTTTGGAGAATCGTACGATTTGAATGCTATATTTCCAAACCTTGAATCTTTAACATTATATTATAATCCGTTTTTTATGGATCACACATTTATGCAAATTAATACAAATTGCATGACAAATATCAAGAAATTAGAAGAATTAAAACTGGAAATTAATCCTGTATCGTATGAACTACATGACCTTGAACATATTTTTGTGAAAAATAAGCAGTTGTTCACGCTTGGACTCGTGTTGATCGATAAAATAGATATTCTTCGTTCGATCGAAGTACACGCGAATACTGTGCAAACACTTGAAATCCATATTGATGGTACCGACTTCCTGACTCACGTGTCTGAAAAGCAGCCATTTAATATGCCAAAATTGAAGAGGCTCAACTTAAGAGGAAGTTGCGATGATTCTCGCATCATTAGTTTCATAAACAGTTTCAAGAAATTGGAAACACTGGAAGTGATGGTCTCAAATGCTTTGATTATATCGCAAATTGAACAATTGATTGAAATTAATGAATTCATTACATATTACCCATCTATCACGAATCTTAAGGATACATTAGAAAGCTTTGGTAGAAAAAAGAAATTGAATATGATAAAGTTTTCGCAAGTTGACCAAAATACGTGTGACACTTTTAAATCTCAAGTGAGCCAGATTAATAAAAAGTTAAAACAATCACAAAACCTAACATGGAAAGTAAATTGTTCCAATGACACCATAACGTTGCTGCGTAGCAAATAAATGTAAAAGTCATCCATGATATTTGTTGAGAAAATCAGGTTTTTAATGAGGCAAAGGTACTCTTTTTCCCTGTAATTAATTAAAATTTTAGACAAATTTAGAAACAAATAAAAATTCTCTCTAATCGACTCCATTCGCAAAAAAATTTTGTTTTCAATTTTTGTGTCTTACTGATGATGATAGATAATTTATCGACATGCATTTTTTTTTTTAATTTCCTTTAACTCCTAGTGGAGCATAGGGCCTTGAGATAAGAATTCTTATCTTTCTGGTTTCTGTTGATCAATTAATTCAGATAAAATCGGTGATCAGCATACCAAAGTGTTTAATTTTATAAATTGTTTTTATAATTTTT